AATGGTCACATAAACACCATCCTATACCGGAAACCTACTGACCGCTACACTTACCTACATGCCTCCAGCTTTCATCCAGACCACATCACACAATCCATTGTCTACAGCCAAGCTCTAAGATACAACCGCATTTGCTCCGATCCCTCAGACGGAGAGAAACACCTACAGAATCTCTATCAAGCATTCTTAACAGAGCCAGAAGGGTACCGAAAAGTCACCTGCTACAAGACAGGCCCAACAAAGAAAGTAACAGAACGCCGGTAGCCATCACCTACAGTCCCCAACTAAAACCTCTCCAGCGCATCATCAAGGATCTACAACCTATCCTGAAAGACGATCCCTCGCTCTCACAGACCTTGGGAGACAGGCCAGTCCTCGCTTACAGACAGCCCCCCAACCTGAAGCAAATACTCACCAGCAACTACACACCACACAACAAAAACACCAACTCAGGAACCAAACCCTGCTACAAACCCCGTTGCCAACTCTGTCCACATATCTATTCAAGGGACACCACCATAGGACCTAATCACATCAGCCACACCATCTGGGGCTCGTTCACCTGCACATCTACCAATGTGGTATATGCAATCATGTGCCAGCAATGCCCTTCTGCCGTGTACATTGACCAAACCGGACAGTCTCTACACAAAAGAATAAATGGACACACATCTGACATCAGGAATCATAACATTCAAAAACCAGTAGGAGAACACTTCAGTCTCTCGGGTCACTCAATAACAGACCTCAAAGTGGCAATTCTTCAACAAAAAAACTTCAAAAAGAGAGTCCAATGTGAATCTGCAGAACTGGAATTAATTTGCAAGCTAGATATCATCAGATTAGGCCTGAATAAAGACTGGGAGTGGTTGGGTCATTATAAAAGCTAAACTTAATTTCCCCAATACTAATTTCTCCCTACTGTTACTCACACCTTTTTGCAACTGTCTGTAATGGGCCACTCTCTTACCAGTTCAAAAGTTATTTCTCCTCCCTCGGTATCCTGCTGTTAATTGATTTATCTCGTAAGACTGACTTAACACTTGGTAAAGCACCCCACATCCTTTCATGTAGTTATACCTGCTCCTGTAGCTTTTACTTCATACATCTGATGAAGTGGGTTCTAGCCCACGAAAGCATATGCCCAAATAAATTTGTTAGTCTCTAAGGTGCCACAAGGACTCCTTGGTTTTTTTCATGCTGCTTATATTAGGTGGTAGTCAAACCCAGAGCAGCGTTTGGCTTATGATGATCTCTGTCTACATCTGATCCAAGATACGGCCAGCCCTGTGAATTAGACTAGAAATTACTAGTGTGTGCTTTAGGATGGAAAGAGAGGAGACAAATTTTGGGGGGGTTGTGTCCAAGATCCTGGCCACATGAATATTGAAATCACCTAGGATGACAAGTCCAGGGAACTTTACTATTGCTGACAGAGTCTCAGTCAGCTTCTTTATGAACTCCTTGGTCTTTTCGGGTTTATTAATGGGTTGGCAGTCCTAGATTTCCTTTGGCCCTGTTTGTCTGTTAGACGAAGGAATTCAAAAGATTTTTTAGTTCCCAGGGGTTGGGAGGAATTTAATTGTATTTGTGGTTAGACGAGACTATTGAATGCTAAACTATCTGCCTTCTTCCCACTCTTGTTTTTTGGTGTGCTCAGTAGATTCATAGACTCAAAGGCCAGAAGGTACCAATATGATCATCTAGTCGGCCCTCCTGTGTGCACAGGCTGTAGGTTGTTTGTTTTCCCAGAAACCAGATTAAAGCATATCTTTCAGAAAGATATCTCATTTTATTGTAAAGACTACAAGCGATGGTGAGTCTACCACCTCCCCTGCTAAGCTGTTCCAAGTTTAATTATCTTCCCTTATTTCAAGGTTGAATTTGTTTAACTTCAATTTCCAACCCTTGGATCTTGTTTTGCCTTTGTCTGCAAGATTGAAATGGCCCCGCCATCAGATAGATTTCCCATGTGTAATTAACTATACACAGTGACCACGTCACCTCTCAGCCTTCCCTTTCATAAGCTGAATATATTGAGCTCCTTAAATCTCACATTGTAAGGCTTGTTTTCCAGCCCCCTGGATTGTTTTTGTGACTCTTCTTTGACTTTCTCCAGTATTGAAGTGTGTTTCCAGTACTGGTGTCTAATCTAATAGTGGTCTTACCAATGCAGTGTACCAAAGCAAGATCACTTCCCTACTTGTACTAGATATTCCCTTTTTTTATACATTTAGTGACTGTAGTAGCCTTTTTTGCCACAGCCTTGCACTGAGCACTCATGTTGAGGCAGTTACCTATGATGACCCCAAGTCCTTCTCTGAGTCACTGCTTTCCAAGGCCTAGTCTTCACTTACCGGCTGGTCC